CCTTAATTTCTATGCGCATTGTTAGGAGTGATACCGGGAGGTTGAAATTAATTCTTGTATATCTTTTAACCCATTGACCACGACGCCTAATTTTGCGTGGCGGCGCTGTGGGACGACGCGATTTTGCACAACAATTGCTGCGCGAGAAATTTTCGTGATTATTTACGAAATATAAAAATGTTTTATAAACAACTACAGCCATCTTCTTGGACGACGAAGTCTACAGGTTCCAAGAGTGCAAAAAACTGGAAAAAGTGAACTCTAGTAGAAAAATACTAGACTTGGAAAGGATATGATTTTGCAAGCTGTGTGGGCCATTGGTGGTCCACATCGTCCCTGGCGGCAAAAAGTGCGTGGGCCACAGGTGGTCCACATCGTCGTCAATGGGTTAAAAAATTTTCTTCATGTTAAAATGGGAATGTGCACTGACATGGCACACCATGTAACTCATGTAAACGTGTGCGGGCATGATCTTGCCATCTCCCTATATTCGCTAAAAACTATGAATCATATCCTGCCCGATTATTACATCACCCGATCTCTCCCTGATCACCTGGAAGAATGCTAGCCCATTGACAAAAATGTCCATAAAACGTACTCTTACCGATAACGTGGGTGTTTTGCGGCACTCCGTCAACACTCCCTGAACATAAGAAGTTTTTTCGAAACTCTCTTAGATTTTTTTAGAGAAAAAAAAATAAAAGTGTAACAGAAATTATCCGCCATAATGCTTGCAGGGAGGGAGTGACTGCAACCACTTTTGATTACTTCCGATGTTTTATACTGTTTCTTTTTCTATGAGAACTTCATGAAGCGCATAATTTTTTGAGAAATCAAAATGGACTTCATCTTGTGGAGTTTCTGACGTCATCTCGGGCCAGTCCTACCTCAGATACAGCAAGAAGCACCTGGGCTGGAACTTTATTGGAAAGGGTTTTCAACTTTGGGGTTTCGAGGCTCCGGGAGAACTGGTGGTATTATTACGTTAGTTTTTGTTACTAAGCAACCCAAGCGACTTCCTAAAACTATGTTACATCCAGCCACCGTGGCATACACCAAATGCCTGAGTGTTTCACTTTTAGCTTCACGCTTGAAGTGTCTGCACTCCGAAGCTTCGTGTGTTCATGCAACTTGTCAGAAACTTTCGAAAACATGTTTTCGTAAATGCACCGCAAATGGCAGAAACTCTCAAGAATTCGCAAACATTGGAGGGAATGTATGAAACATCATAAAAATTATGTCCACTTTGAAACACATAGAGCAAAGCATATTATGACTGATATCTGTTGAAGAAGTTTCTTCGAGTATCTACGAATCGCTGCTGCCAATGCTTGCGGATTGCTTTAAAGGTTTCATTAGCAGCTGACCTAGTGTACAAACCACAACCAAAGGTAGCCTTTTAAAAAAAGATAACTTCTAAGATCTTCTGGCTATCGATAGAGTATCCACACTATTCGGTGCTCCTTTACCGGAACATAAACTTACACTTCCAATCTTTCCTCGTAGTCAACGCTTGGTAATGAGATTTCTGTAGCTTGAGCGGCCAACTTCTCTCAGGTACTTGCGCACCGCCACGGACTTGTACCATCAAGTCTCTCGTTTCAGAACTTAATCTGAAATTTTCCTGCCCATTGCTTTTTTAGTTCTTCTCTGATTTCGAAGTCCCGATATTGGAGCTCTTTGAACATAGCAAACGTCCCTGTAGATTCTTTTTCAGCGCTTGATGTTTGCCGAGAAATTAATCTAGTCAAAGGGTGCAAGATTCATGAATACATGTTTTATCGCATCTGGGAATTTTTCACAAAGATCTAGCGTCACCACCTTACTAGAATAGAATGTTAAAAAAAATTTTGAACACTATGGAAAATCTCCTTAATTAGAAATGATGTTGGAGCCGTTCCCTTACAAATTTTTTTTATAAAAATGATTCTATGTTACAACCAAGCTGAGTGTTTGCAAGACACCAGGACGTTCATATGCTCCGCCGTTCCTATGAGGAAAGCTTACAGCGCACTATGACTCCTTTTCCGAAGTATTCAAAAAAGGATTGATGCATTAATATTTTGTTAGTAATTGAATGCGCGTCTTCCAGGATGATAAAGTTATCAAAAGTCCTGATAGCTCCTTGTTCGAACTCGTGTGCCTTATTATGCAGTGAAAAAAGTTATCGCATACATAAGGTTACGGCATCGATACTAGTGATAGCCAGAACACAGCAGTTGAATTTATCTGCAAATTACATGAATACAAAGTGTCCCAAAAATGTGTCTCCTGTTTGATTGCTAATAACTCTATTATCGTGAATTCTTTTGAAAAGTTCTAATTACCATTTTGCAGAGCTGGCTTCGACTTTTTACAGTGTGGAGCGAATTACCGATCGCACTCCATTACTATAGGATTACGGTAGAAACTTCCTATTAACGTCACCGTGAAAAAACTGCCGTTTCGAATTTTGTGAAAAAATCTGAAAATTCTTGGATAGGATTTCTAAGTTCAATATTCAACTTTGTACAAGATTATGAAGCTTGGTAAACATGTATCCGCATTTTTTAGGATTATCGCAGTAACGGCTACCACTGCTTACCTGATAATATAACTTTGAAGGAAGCATCATGATGAAATGCAATGTCCATATTTAGAATTAGCAGCTCTATTTAGCTCAGTGTGAAAGTTTTCAGGTCGTTTTGTTTCTTTTCTGAGGCAAAATATCACCTCCGCGGCTCAAAGCCTTCTTTCAAGTTTCTACTGTAATTATACATCAATGAAGCGAGTTCGTTGAATAGGTCTGCGTTGTAATTCCAACAAGGGAATGGTCAGAAGTCGTATACAAACAAGCTGCATACCTTTCGATGCAGCATAAAACGCTGATTTCAAATCTTTCTTCCTTATCTGCAGAACACCTTTGTAGGCGAAGTTATGAGCAGCTTCACTGCGAAAAAATTGTATACAAAAATTGCAGAATTAGGCACATTATTGCCCTTTTAGCTTACCTCCAGGTACGGCCATATGAGGTGATGTTGCATGTCTTGGTCCAGCACTGAGCCGACAATAGGTCTGTACAACCAAGTTTGCCTTTTACACGCACGATTTCTTAGAAAAATAATGGCGTAACGGCTTATAACTTCATCCACACTAGAGTTCTACAGATAGACAAATTTAGGCTTTGGCGATTTACCCGTGTACCAGTGTTACCGGTTTACTAGTGCTATTCGTGTTAAAAGTGTTACCCGTGTTACTCGTGTTACTCACCGTTAATGATCTTATATATAAAGCTGAATGTCTGTTTGTCTGTATGGTCTGTCTGTATGTCTGTCTGTCTGTCTGTCTGTACGTATGTTCCGAATAGAAAATTCCATTTCTGAACCGATCGGGACCAAACTTGGCACACATACATTTCGGGCCCCGGCGGGTGTCATAGGCTACTTTTCGTATCGATCGATATCGATTTTATCGATTTTTTGCAAAATTTGAGCTACGGGGCTGGGATTTGGCACAGGGGGGTAATCGAGCATGCTGATCACCCCCACGGGGGTGATCAGCATATTGTAGCTCAAATTTTGCACAAAATCGATAAAATCGACATCGATCGATAACGAAAAGTGGACTGTGACACCCGCCGGGGCCCGAAGGGTATGTGTGCCAAGTTTGGTCCGGATCGGTTAAGAAATGGAATTTTCTATTCGGAACATACGGCGGAGCCGGGTAAGCCAGCTAGTATTGCATAAAAATGAGACTGTATTGTGATCATTTCACTATTTAACAGCAATAAAAGCAGTAACACTAGTAACACCAGTAACACGAGTAACACAGGTAGCACTAGTAACATGAGTAACACTAGCAACACGGGTAACAAGGGTAAAGTACGGCCAAAGCCTTAGAGTCGGCATTTTATGCTGCTCTAATGATATGCAGCATGCCTGGATTGGCCACTACGATTTTTGACCATTTTATTGTAAGTTGAGGTCAGTTCTACAAAATGGTATCTGAAGCTTTTCTAAAGACTTCATGACAAGGAGGTGATCAACAAACAAACAAACAGTAGGCACATTTTTTGGGACACCTTATATGCAAACAGTGCCTTGAGAGACTCCGTACTTTTACGCAAGGTAACAACATTGATCTTATGACAGCCAAAACACAGCAATGAATTTATGCAATCGATGAAATAGTCCATAAAGAAGACCAGAAAGTATACATTTTAAGGTTGTGCATTTTCAGTGCTTTGGTAAACATGACATGAGTTCGGAACCATAAAGAATGCAACGATGGGTGAACCAACGACATTGACGGAGCAGTGACATAGAAGCGCTCAAAAAAGAGTTGGTTCAAACGCGCAGTTTGTCCTAGAAAGTTTTCCTTATTCCCAATATTTCCGAGAATCACAAACGTAAGAGGAAATTCTCTATAATGACTTATTTTTCATGAAAAACGAAAGTTCAAATCCATGAGGCTCTGTCTCTGGCTTTGTGCATGTATTCCTGGAAGCACTACTAGTAACTATTAGCAACGAATGTAAGAGCTGGAATTCAGATATAAATGACGTAATAGCACTAAAACTGCAGAAATTCAATATTTCAATGTAAGTACTTTGACATCGAACTCCTTGGAACTCCACCAGACATTGCAAGTTATCGAAAATTCAGAAGAACTTATTGTGATTACAGTCTGTGAACCATACGAATATTCATCTTTTAAATTTGATCTATAATTACACTTACAGAGTACACATGGTGAAACAATGTTCGATTACTTTAAAGAAAACAAGGAGCACAATGAAACAGAGAAGCTGCTGAAATATAGCTCATCGTGAAGAAGGGAGATTAAGTTGTTAAGCTAGCATAGCAAAATGTAAGTAATAACATATTCACACAGAAAATACTTTCAAAAATAACATATCCTCAACAAATTCACATAAAAAACTGTTAAAAATAACATATCTATGTGTTGAAAATAGGGGTAAAAAAATAACATAATCATGCGTTACAGGGAATTTTTCTCGTTCATACGATAAATCGATCGAGTTCACTTGTATTATGCTGAGGAGGCGGATTTGATTTTAAGGATAGGGAAAGTGTGTTTGCCTGCCGAAATCTGAAACCTTACTACGTATCTGTTATTCGATCGAACTTGAAATCACTTACTTGCGGTAATAGTCATCGACGGCTTTCATTGTGATATCCGAATACTTTCTGCGAAAATAGATTGGACAAAAGTAATCCCTAAATGTTTGGGGGATAAGCAGGTTTTATGACACTATAGCTACCATAGAAGGAAAAAAATATGCAGAACATATTTTCCAGGAGAACATTTGTTTAGTTGTTGTCAAGGCGACTCGCTCTTTCTGTTATAAAGTTCTTCATAAATAAATAGAAATTAGCTTACAAAGTACACAAATCATCCTCGCCGTATAGTAGAGATTTCAAACCCTAATCTACTGTTTGTTCTCCTCGTTTGTTTCAGGTAGAGAAAAAACAGTAGAAAACATCGATGAGCTTCTACAGTGATAATTTTTCAATAACCTCTCACAGATTTGTTTGTAAGCAAAATCTTAATATAAAGCTAAATGTTTGTTTGTATGTGCGTCGTTCTATCTTATATGTTTCAAATAGAAAAATTTATCTCTGAACCGCTCCGGACCATTGGCACACGTACACTTCGGGGCGAGGCGGTAGGCCACTTTTTGTCATTGATCGATATCGATTTTATCAATTTTAATTGATGTTATTGATTCTTTTTGCAAAATTTGAGCTACGCTGCTGGGAGTTGGTGCAGGGAGCAAAATAATTAAGCAAGTAATTAAGTAATTAAGCATGCTGATTACGAATAAAATATTAGTCTTTAACATTGTCTATTAGTTTTATCGATTTTATCGATTTTTTGCAAATTTTACTCGACCTATGGGGCTGGAAATTGACACAGGGGTAATCAAGCATGCTGATTACGAAAACGACAGGGGAATACGGAATTGCGACGTAAAAGTGGGCACAGGGAAAGTTTGTACAATGATACCTGAACTTTATCAGGGATCTTTATCATAGTGTTTTGACAGGGCCGGGGAGCCGGTAAGCCAGCTAATTTTTTCATCTTATATATAAAGCTGAATGTCTGTTTGTCTGTCTGTATGTCTGTCTGTATGTCTGTCTGTATGTCTGTGTGTACGTATGTTCCGAATAGAAAATTCCATTTCTGAACCGATCCGGACCAAACTTGGCACACGTACACTACGGGCCCCGGCGGGTGTCATAGGCTACTTTTCGTCATCGATCGATATCGATTTTATCGATTTTTATCGATTTTTTTGCTGAGTTCACCTACGGGGCTGGGAGTTGGCACATGGGGGTAATCGAGCATGGGGATTCCGAATACAATATTGGTTTTCGGGATTATCGATTACTTTTATCGATTTTATCGATTTTTTTGCAAAGTTTGAGCTAGGGGGCTGGGAGTTGGTACAGGGGGGTAATCGAGCATGCTGATCATCCCCAAGGGGGGTGATCTGCATGCTCGATTACCCCCCTGTACAAACTCCCAGCCCCGCAGGTCAAACTTTACAAAAAAAATCGATAAAATCGATAAAAGTAATGGACGATCCTGAAAACTAATATTGTGTTCGTAATCAGCATGCTCGATTACCCCCTGTGCAAAATCCCAGCCTCGCATGTCAAAATTTACAAATAATCGATAAAATCAATAAAAGTAATCGATAATTCCGAAAACTAATATTGTATTCGGAATCCCCATGCTCACTTCCCCCCCTGTGCCAACTCCTAGCCCTGTAGGTGAACTCTGCAAAGAAAACGATAAAAATCGGTAAAATCGACATCGATCGATAACGAAAAGTGGACTGTGACACCCGCCGGGGCCCGAAGTGTATGTGTGCCAAGTTTGGTCCGGATACGGCGGAGCCGGGTAAGCCAGCTAGTAAAATATAAGTGAATATCTCCCAAACACTTTGCATCATCTCAAAGCGTTTGTGAAATCAGAGGGCTCATGCAATACTAGCAGAAGAACGGCTAGCGCTAAGCATACTAAAATTTCGGCCTGTCTCCTGTCCCACAATTGCTGAACATATTAGGTCGGTGCAAAAGTTTTGTCAGTTTTTCCAATCCATCGACGATCACGCTAGAATGAAGATAAACAAACACTCCAAGATGTATCCGATGCAGAATTTTTTCCTCTTTCTAGCTGCTCAACTACCATTGTGTTCCGTTGCGAGATTGACGAGATATGTGCTGAAAAATACAACTGCTCGTTTTTACCATGTCCAAATTTGACTAATTTTCAAAATTTTTGTATGGGACTTTCGAAGGAGCACTAATAATCAGCAGATGGGGCAATCCTTTTGCCAATCTTGCAATTTTTTTCTTTTTTTCCAATCGCGTTTTCGGATTTTTGCTAAATAAATTTCTAAAAGTCTTGTCTTGTGGAAAAATCGCATATTATTGCACCAAACACTGCAAAATCTACAGAATACTGAGGTTTCAACACTCGATTATTACTACAGCACCATTACAAAGTAAATGAGCGATTTTCGCTTCAAATTATGAAGATTTTGAAACATAGGTTACGTGAGTGCGCACTCCTGAAATTGAGAATTACTGCGATTTTCCCCACAAATTTTGCCTGTCTCGGCAAAATGTTAGAAGGAGGAGAAAAAGTTGCATCGACTGGGGGCTGAAGTGTTCAACATTTTATGTTCTACGAAGTTAAAATAGGCTGAATGTAAAATTTGGTCACTTCAAAAAATAAATCGTAGAAATTCGGAAAGACAAGCCGTAGGGCTACAAATAAAAGCTTCTGTTGGCAAAAGATTCGCCGGGTGTAGGGCGTTAGGCGACAAACCCGATTTTTTGGACCCCAAGTAACTCCCCGTGCAAAACGTTTCCTCCGCCAAAAACAGGGGGGTGGGGGTGGGGGCCGATACATTACTGGACGCCATCAAGAAAATTGCACATGGTTTTGACTTACGGGCTTTACGTTGATGGCGTTTTGCACGTTTTGTCGCCTAACGCTTGCCCTCCAGATTTGCCCTATCTGCTGGTTATTAGTGCTCCTCCGAAAGTCTCATATAAAAATTTTGAAAATTAGCGAAATTTGGACGTGGTAAAAACGAGTGGCTGTAATTTTCAGCAAATATCTCGTCACATTCGCAACAAAACACAATGGTAGTTTAGCAGCTGAAAAGAGGGAGAAATTCTGCATCGGATATATTTTTAAGTGTTAGTTTATCTTCATTCTGACGTGTTTGCCGATGAATTGAAAAACCTGACAAAACTTTTGCACCAACCTAATAATAATCTAGACATGCATGGACTTACAAATTAAACTTTGCGAGATTTAAGCAGGAGGTACTCCACATACAAACATGGAACATGATGCTTCTACCAGTGGCGGACCGAGCGGGAGGGGCGGGAATGGGTCGCGAAATATTCGAGAATTACTTATATGGGTTATAAAAGCGGATCAGAATATACAGGTCTGAAGGCCCCTATTCAGCTTGTGCTTTGTGAAGAGGCTTGACGAAGGGTTCCTTGTTTTTGTCTTCACTTCTGGATGTCTATTGAATTTTACATAACTGCCACTGAAAGAATGTTCATCTTATGTGCTGTTTCATAGGAAAAACACCGATTGGGCAAAGTAATGGCTGCCAAATATCCATCGCTTAGACCGTCAACTCTCCCAAGCCCTTAACTTATTTGAACAGCGATGGTTGGTGGATCACAACCGCTACATTCGTCAATTTAGCATTCTTGAATATGATAAACACTGAAAAAACACGTTTGCTCTCTTTGAATATTCTGTTTTGCAGCACATTTTGAAGATTATTGAAAATTCAAACAATAGAAACCAAAAACTCGAAGAGCCCTCACATCACTAAACATTTTTTCACAAGTAGGAAGATAAAGGAGTGACAGCATATGAAACTTGAGAAAATTTTTATGGCTCACAGAAAGATAATTTTTACGCAGACAGAATTCATATTCCAGTTCTCAGTGAGGTGCTCTTTTCAGCGTTTTCAACGGTCAAACATTTATTTCATATTTGAAGGAGCCGCAAAAACGACCAAACTTATATGTTAGCCTACATAATGTTATTTTATGCTATGCCATTAGTGATTCTTATTCTGGAATACATCGAAATGAACGTATTTGCTTACACTAGAAGAAAGTTTTATTCTCCAAGAAATTTGCACAATTCCTGCACAAAACACACCGTTGTTTTTTCAGTGTTCGCAAATGTGAGGAATTTTTACGATTTTCTATAAAGCAGATCCCGATTTTTACCGTTTGTCGCGGCTCCGCAATGCATAGCGGCTCCTCGGAACAGGTGCCGGGAGCGCTGCATGCCGCGTTTATTTGTCGCGCCTTTTGTAGGCGTCGCAGGACCACTCCGGCTGGGAACGATGTCAAGTTGAGGGGTATATAAGGCTGAGCAGAGTCTAGTCCATGCCCCATCAACCTTCGTCTTATCAATTATCTTGGGTTATCACTTGGCTTCGATTCCACCAGCTCCCGCAGGAGAGGATCTTCGTGTTCGGAATTGAGCTTTTCGTCGTTCTTGTGTGTCGTACGCGCGTAGGCGCAGGAAAGTATCTTGTGTTGGTAGAAGAACAAGGTATCGCACCGTTCCATTCGTGGACCTGGGCTTCTAGCGGCGATCCTGTGAAGGAACCTAGACATCTTTTATCCAGATTGAGCCAAATTAGCATGGGCAGCACGAGGGTCCGCGGCTCGCCCCGTTCTTATATCCGTTGTTCTCATTTATCCCCTAGTAGTTTCAGGAGTTTAGTAGTTTAGTATTTGTTATGTATTTGTACTTGTTGTATATTTGTATTTGTTATTTGTTCCATAAATTTACTCAATTCAGACGCGCATTATGTTGTGACTAGCACGGTTGGTGATCGCGCCCTTCGACGCCCGGTCGTGGACATGTTATATCCTACGGCTGGGATTGGTTGTGCATGGTAGTCGTACGAGGCTTGAGGGTGCTGAGCATGTCGAGCCGCAACACCGTTGTTCGCTAGATAGAGAACCTATTGTATCCAGTTACGCACAAGGCTTGCTATAACTGAATTAAGTTTATGGGAACGTAACCAGCAGCAGATAAACGAAATAAAATCATCCATAACTCAGCTCAAGTTCAGTCACTAAATAATGCTGAAGAAGATAAGCAATTAAGCTTGTATAGACTGGGTATGAAATCATTAGCCGGAATAATGGCGTAAAGACCCTTGGAGTCTGTAACGGTAAATTAATCATTTTTATATCCATCACACCTTGAAAACAAATTGGATTATAGATGTGAGCTTACAGAGGTTTACATGTTGGTGCATAATCCTTCTTTATCAATAGCAAAAAACTGAACGGTAATTGATACGATAGCAGAAACTCCAAACTACTTCAGCGCAAAAATATGGATAAAAATAATAGGCCAAATTATTTGAAGTTTTGCATATTGAAATGAACTTAACCTCTTAGCCAACCTACATGAACAATCAAGAGAAAAATAGGCCGTATCACGATTTTTCATTTCATGGTTTTTCAACTCGTGTTGGTCAATGTATCTGTGTACGACTAAGTTATGTGACTTCGAATTACACTTTTCGGTATTTTAAGTTTATTCCGAAATAAATGTGTGCTGGAATATTTAATCTTATATATAAAGTTGAATGTCTGTTTGTCTGTCTGTCTGTCTGTATGTCTGTCTGTATGTACGTATGTTCCGAATAGAAAATTCCATTTCTGAACCGATCCGGACCAAACTTGGCACACATACACTACGGGCCCCGGCGGGTGTCATAGGCTACTTTTCGTCATCGATCGATATCGAGTTTATCGATTTTTATCGATTTTTTTTGCTGAGTTCACCTACGGGGCTGGGAGTTGGCACAGGGGGGTAATCGAGCATGAGGATTCCGAATACAATAATGGTTTTCAGGATTATCGATTACTTTTATCGATTTTATCGATTTTTTTGCAAAGTTTGAGCTACGGGGCTGGGAGTTCGCACAGGGGGGTAATCGAGCATGGGGATTCCGAATACAATATTGGTTTTCAGGATTATCGATTACTATTATCGATTTTATCGATTTTTTTGCAAAGTTTGAGCTAGGGGGCTGGGAGTTGGCACAGGGGGGTAATCGAGCATGCTGATCATCCCCAAGGGGGGTGATCAGCATGCTCGATTACACCCCTGTGCCAAATTCCAGCCCCCTAGCTCAAATTTTTAAAAAATCGATAAAATCGATAAAAGTAATGGACGATCCTAAAAATTAATATTGTGTTCGTAATCTGCATGCTCGATTACCCCCCTGTACAAACTCCCAGCCCCGCAGGTCAAACTTTACAAAAAAAAATCGATAAAATCGATAAAAGTAATGGACGATCCTGAAAACTAATATTGTGTTCGTAATCAGCATGCTCGATTACCCCCTGTGCAAAATCCCAGCCTCGCATGTCAAAATTTACAAAAAATCGATAAAATCAATGAAAGTAATCGATAATTCTGAAAACTAATATTGTATTCGGAATCCCCATGCTCACTTCCCCCCTGTGCCAACTCCTAGCCCTGTAGGTGAACTCTGCAAAAAAATCGATAAAAATCGGTAAAATCGACATCGATCGATAACGAAAAGTGGACTGTGACACCCGCCGGGGCCCGAAGTGTATGTGTGCCAAGTTTGGTCCGGATACGGCGGAGCCGGGTAAGCCCGCTAGTATATACATAATGTGTCATATGGAACGAAAATATGCTTAATAGGAAGCTTGCAAATTTTGAAAATCTTAAATGTGGTGCAAGATATATGGACCAAGCCAATCTTAATTAGCTACTACATGACTCGAAATCCAAGCCATCCATAGAATTTCCTTTAGCGTACCTTCAAAACCATCTACAGGGGCTTTCAGTCCGAGTGTAACGGTCGAAGTGGTCCAACTCCTCGTGAACCGCCTCGTTTGGGTCTCTCACATTTTCAATAGCGCACCTACTGCCGCGAAGGCCTTAGCGGATGCGGCATTTTACTACGTGAGAGACCCAAGCGAGGCGGTTCGCGAGGAGTTGAACCACGTCGACCGTGACTTTCAGGCTGAAAGCCCCTGTACCTTCCCAAATGGGTTAGGATGTGTGTGGGCCATTCTTTACAAGTAACATTAATGGCTCAGATTCATCAAAGTCTATGTCTCTATCACAGAAAATCAACCAGGAACTTTGCTTATATCACCAACAAAAAATATGTACGTACTAGCTGGCTTACCCGGCTCCGCCGTATGTTCCGAATAGAAAATTCCATTTCTTAACCGATCCGGACCAAACTTGGCACACATACCCTTCGGGCCCCGGCGGGTGTCACAGTCCACTTTTCGTTATCGATCGATGTCGATTTTATCGATTTTTTGCAAAATTTGAGCTACAATGTGCTGATCACCCCCACGGGGGTGATCAGCATGCTCGATTACCCCCCTGTGCCAAATCCCAGCCCCGTAGCTCAAATTTTGCAAAAATCGATAAAATCGATATCGATCGATGACGAAAAGTAGCCTATGACACACGCCGGGGCCCGAAGTGTATGTGTGCCAAGTTTGGTCCCGATCGGTTCAGAAATAAAAATTTCTATTCGGAACATACGTACATACAGACATACATACAGACATACAGACATACAGACATACAAACAAACATTCAGCTTTATATATAAGATAACTTCTCCATGTCTAATCGTCTTCAATGCTATTCCTTCTTAATAAGGATGACTAAAGAAGGTAATATTCCAGACCTACCTGACAGCGTATACGTTGAAAGCCAACCATGAAATAAGGCAAACGATACCGAACACAATGTAGATTGTTTCACGATATTGGCTTAATTCACCAAAAATTTTGTCCTATAACCTTATATCAAAATCATTAATAAAGTCCGAAACGACGAGGATACAATTGTCGTGATAGAGGATAAGTTTTGAGATACATTATATTAGGTCATTCCGAAAGTAATTTCGCTTTTTTCAAACGGGCGCCACATCTGATGGAACAAAGATTTTTGAGAGATCTTGGTAGCATTCGAAACAGCATTTTATTCTCTTTCCAAAGTTTATGGAGTTGTTGCAAAACAATCAATGACCTTTCAGAAAATCGCCAAAATCTGCGACCTATGCTTTTTGAGATAGTCAAGTTTCACAATTTTGTAAAACTTTCATATCAGTTCTCAGAAGAAGTTTAAGAGATGGTTCGATAGAGCAAACCTCATAGAATACAATGCAACTTTTTCCCCTTTTCCATAGCTGTCATACATTTTATACAGAATTTTAACTGATGCTACCGATTTTCATACTTGGACAGCTAAATCCTAGTAGAACATCGAAACTTGAGCAGCTTGGGTGTCATTCGATGCAGCTTTTTCTTCTCTTTCTAACGGGTGCTTTTCTTCGATTCGTTTAGTTTTCGGGAATAAAATTATCACAATTTATTTTTTAAAGGAGCCCCAGGCTGTACCCGTAAAACTCGAAATTTGATGTTTCGAACCCGTAAACCCTCACTTGCTTTGTAAAATTAATGCTAACTCATAGTATCATCTTGGTAGTCTCAAATTCCGAAAAATTATGGTGTTTGATGCGATTGTGGCTGACGTAGGCCTGACAAAATTCGATGGAAAAAATATTTTAAAAAATTATGGCGAGCTATAGAAAGGAGAAAAAAGTAGTACCATATTCTATAAGGTTTACTCTATCGAATCGTTACTTGAACTCCTTCTGAGGATTGATATGAAAGGTTTAAAAAATCGTGAAACTTGACCATCTCAAAAAGCGTGGGTCGCAGATTTTGGTTATTTTCTGAAAGCTTATTGACTGTTTTGCGACAATTCCACAACCATTAGAAAGATAATGAAATGCTGCATCGAATACTTCCAAGATCTCTCGGAAACCTTTGTTCCATCAGATGTGGCGCCTGTTTGAAAAAGCGAAATTACTTTCGGAATGACTTAATACATTATTTCAACAGAATCAATTACCAATGGGTTGATGTGGATTCAAATGGCAAGAAGGCTGCAAGCTGACTATCAGGACTTTTACTCAGTTTCGATGATGGGTGGATCTTGTGAATCAAACTATGTATGGGAAGTGGGAACTAAACTTATATGCAACGATCAACGATGCTGTGATTTATGATTAGATTTTGAGGCTTGAAAAGTTGGCATGCTCCTCAAAAGAATGTCAGTCTTTTCCTACTTAAGTAAATCTATGCCCTTTGCGACTACGACCATGAATTTCAACCTTGGGAACTCTAATTAACGAGAAATGGCAAAAGCAAGAAAAACCAAAAATGGCCAATGTTTTCGATTTTTGCCCATTTTTCTTTAGCTATTGAAAAAAAAACAGCAGATTGCCTGGTTTGGACAGCGTCTGCACGATCGAGTCGGAGGTTCGCAGGATCTAGACGAATATCTGACGATTGTATTCTCTCAAATTTTCAGGTTAAATTTTCCACGATTGCTTCAAGGCTAGCTTAGAGCTTGCTCTGGTCTACAGAATAATAAGTTTCCTACAATCTCCAAAACACCAGTCTTTTACTTGCTTACCTATATCCTTGGTAGAATGTGTCAATCATTACTGAATTTCCAAAATGATGCCAAATAGCACAAATTCAAATTTTAGCAACATAAATTAATGTGGACTACCGATAGTAAACTAAAAATTACTTCAGATGTATCCCATATAAAAGAAATGTCTCGGCAGATTTCGTTTTCTAGTTTTTACCTTTTCGGAGCCTCCTCGCCATGAGAAAGCCGGGCTCTCGCTATCTAGGCTTTTCGCGTAAGAAAACTGCAAAAACCAGCTTTTTTCGAAGCTTTCCAGGGTCCCCATTTAGTGAAGATACACCGGAAGTCTTTCGCGCCCCGCTTTCCTCGTTCCGGCCCCATCCACTTACACGTATTCTCCACTGATTGCGGACCAGCTAAGCTTCGGAAGAAGCACATTTTCGCGTTTTCGTGCGCTGAAAAGTCCAGATATGAATTCCTCATGGCGAAGATACTCCAAAAATGTGAAAAACTGGAAGACGACATAGTTCTGATTAGAATCAGATACACTGTTTGCTGAAACGAAAATCTTTCTAACCCAGGAATTCTGATGGCATCGTATGGAGGGTAAGCCCTGATTCGCAAAAAAAAGAGATTAAGTATTGCTAATTTGAAGCATCTTTCATGAGTTGAGAGGGCAAGATTTGGATACTTTATGAACTCCTCAACTGATAAAGAACAAGTGGGTGTTTTCAGATATCCAGCTATTTTTGTAAGCGCTGAGCTTTTTGCAGTTACAAAGCAAATAGATGGGCATATTCAAATACTGAGTGTCCTCTTCTTGCTGAACCGCAACGTCTTCAGCACTTATTCAGTCTGACGTTCAAGAGATGCTTGATACAAGTAAGTAAGCCCAAAATGCTAGCTGCAGCGTTACAACATTAACATGGAAAAGAGGAAAAACAGGGAAAATTCAGCAGAGCACAGTGACAGATTTCCTTTGAAAATCAAGGAATGAAGACGAAGCTGTTGCGGGCTACCGAAAAAGCTTGATTTGGACCGCATACATAGCCATCATATTCCAAGAGATTTATAATATAATATCACAAATCATGGAAAACCGTAGAAGCAACCTCAGGAAAGCCTGGCTCTATTGCTCTCGTAAATCAGATACATCCTTTTGTAACCGCCGGCTAATTGTAAGGGTTGCGATGAGCAGAGACTGTACGAAAACGCGTGTGAGAAGAAGACTAGGTAAAGAACCTGGTATGGTTACTAATTATTTCCTACAACCTTGTACAAAAAAATATTTGGACCCAGTGACTAAAACTGTTAGCTTTAGGATCAGCGGAAAGAATGGTGCTGCTTCTGCAGTTAGCCAAGATGTAGAAACGCATGTATTTCCGCTTACGTAGCTGACTATGGTTTTTACTTGAAATAATGGAGCTGAAAGAGTTGAAATGGCGCAATGTTGCAGGCAAAAAAGTAATAACCACATTTAATTGAAGCAAGTCTTTTGTTGGGAAATGAGGCTGTTGAAACGCAAGAATATGCTGGAGTGCTCTTAAGCTATGCCCATTTTGTTTTGAAATGCATAATGAGTTTTCCATGTTTAGTAGATCACAATTTGAAAACAAGGATGACAGAATACTATGCAACCAGTGCAGGATGAACTCGCTGTTGGCAACCATAATACTTGAAAGCTGGGATAAAAATAGGTACGAGCCAGATGGTGAACGCAAATTTTAGCCGAAGCAAAGATCAGAAAGGAAATTTTCCGAAGGGATACATTAGTCTGGCTTTCTATAATTTTTGTGTAGCTACTTTGCGATAGTTTGAAGCCTCACACCTTGAAAAAAAGGAGGTTGCGTCAGCGACACCAAAAAGTTTCTTTGCAAGACTGACTAGCTTTCATAGAATATTCAGAACTTTCCTCGCCTCTCTCTCTCGAAATGCGTCTATTGGTAAAAGCTGGGGGATATCAATATTCTAAAAGTAAAATCTTTTTATTGATTTTCATGAGTCATTTGAAGCGACGCAGCTTCTTCAGTAGTAGAATTGCGTAAAGGGGGCCTTAACTTCAAAGCTTTCTTACATCCACTGAGCATATGTTTCACTCCAATGGCTGAAATAAAGTGCCTGGTGCCCATTTCTTAGTCCAATATGTCTCCGCATCATATTCGAAACATATGTCATACACTCAAGCATTTCTCTCACCCGAATGCGTTCGAGATTTAGATATACATATAATTTAATCATTTTTCACTCTTCTCCCTCGAAATCTCGGTCACTCTGGGGCTGCAAAAAAATTTTCTTTTACCGAAATTGCATAAATTTGCTTGCTCTCAGAAAAAATGCTAATAAATAAAAGATAGCAAATAATCAAAAAATGGATGATCTTTGCCACTAACTAGCTTTTAGCATTGACGGCAGAGGGTGGTGATGAGACTACCCTGCGGCAAAACATAGGGAATACTCGGTCCAGCAGCTTATCCCAAAGCTGAACGACAACATCCGGAGCATCGAAGAAAACACATACTGGCAAATATAGAATCGTGATTGGCTCTAGAGAGAGATTGTGTGCGTATAAGGAAGCGAAGCAACGACACTAACTCAAAACTATAGTAAACCCACTAAATTTGAAACGGAGGCTCGCTAGGCAACTGTGGACATTGGGATTTTACTCAAAAAACCTCGTCTAGACCGAGCTAATAAAACAAGCTTTGTTTTCTGCTAAGTAGTTTTCATAGATAGCAGTGCTGGCTTTTTGAATTTCCCTACAAATATCGTGAAGTCTGAAGGCTGGAGATTATCGGAATTGATAAATTTGTCCGTGTTATTTTATGAAATCACAACAGCAGATTCAAGTATCACTCAACAGGTTGAAAAAAAGTCCTGATGCAGTTTTCGGCCACCTTCACTTTGCAAATCTCTTTGACAAATATAATCTAGCTCATTTACATTCGCTTTCCTGAAGGGCAATTTTTGAGCACCTTCAAACTTAGTTTTTGTATAAATATAAGGCATTTGCTAGATTTTCTCCCCAGCTCAAAATGAAAAAAGAAGATAGTCACAAAATGCCATTTTTCTAGCCTTTTTGTATTGAACTTGATATTTTTCGATTAGAAGAGCACATTTAGAGATGTGATTGAAAGATGAGACTTATTTGCAGTAGAAATCACATATGCGGGAGAAGCTGAAGTGCTGAGTTTGCCAACTTCCCTTTTTTGCTCGGTTTCTGTACGCGAAAAAATTCAGCAAATGCATTATGGATACTACTATGTGTCCTCCATAAGACGACTAATTTGGAGCTCTGTAGGATCCTTCTTCACAGATCCACTTTAAAGGTGACACATTTTTTTCCATTTTGCCCCAAACCTTAAATGGTTTACGGCTTGAGTGGGTCTTTGGTGACCAGTCTGCAGAGCAGGCTTTGCTCTAGCGTATGGTTCCCCATTCTGCTAGGAAAACAAAAAAAGTTTGATCTATCGAGAAAAACGTTTTATTTTTGGGACAACCTAATATATTGTGCTTATGAGGAAAGCTACCTAAATTACAAGGGAAGCGTGTGTAGTCGATGTGACCTTTCCAGGCGAGACCCATACTGCTTTGAAGAGCATTAAGCGATGATTCCAGATCTGTCTTCAATCTGCCAAGCGGCTCTGGACGCCGAGTTATGGGCGTTTTTTAGGTCAAAAAATTGAAAGCAAAACTGAAGCAAGATTGCTCAAATTTGCTCAAATGGTCCAGTGTCAAGTATCAGAGCCATTTATGCAATGGATACATTTTTTCTAATATGCAATGCTTAACATTGCCTTATCTGAGCGCTGGAAAAATTGTAATAATCGATTTTACCTAAATTCTGCATTCATTTTTCGTTCCAAAAAGCGGTCATGATTCGGCGTGCAGAGTCGCTTGGCAGATTTGGGAGGCAGATTTGGAATCACCGTGCAGTACCCTTCAAAGCAGTGTGGGTATCATCTGAAAAAGCCACTTCGACTAAACACGCTTTCCTTGTTAGCTCGGTCTTTTTACAAAAGACATATATGTTCTGAATAGCTTTGAACGCTGATTTCAACGACGCTATTCCTAGCTGCAGCGTACCATTCCGATGCGAGTTATGGACTTTTTCCTGCCCGAAATTGGCATACTACTGATTATGGAAAGGCTGCCTGTAAATAAAAATTTGCAAGAAAAATGCGCTGAGGTATCGAAATAACACGATCCAATCTTTTTTCACTAAAAAGAAGCTCATCGCAAGCGTACTATTCAGCACTTGCGATCAGCTAGTGCTAAATAGCATTAGGTGATGATGCTGTGATGCCAGTGTGTCGATGAGTATGCCAATTTCGCGCAGGAAAAAGTCCATAACTCGCTTCGGAATGGTGCTCGGCCGCTAGGAACTGCATATTTGAAATCAACGTTCAAAGCTGATTCAGAATATCCATGTCACTTGCCAAAAGGCCGAGCTAACTCAGGTAGCTTCCCTTGTTAGGCATCTGCAAGCTTCTAATCTCCAGCGCTCCTACTCCTAATTCCAATTTCAGAGGATCCGAACAACTTCAGGCTGCAAAAATCAAGAAGGAAAAACCATTTCTAGTTTTTTTGCTCCGCTCCCATCTTCCCTTCGTTATTGTTCAAAAACACAACGAACAGAACATCAGACTAATCACTTTTATAGCTACCGTCACTGTTTCTGCTTGCTAACTTCCTTTCACCAACTGGTTACTTTCATTTTCGCAAAAGCGAGCGAGGTTTTTTTCGCGATGACTTCCGTCGTCTCGCGTACTTGAGTAGTGCGTGCCTTACTTTGAATTGCTGGGTAGGCAACCCTTAAAGCAATGATTTGTATAAAGGGACCATATTCCACGAAGTCCGGGATTGTCTACTGATCATGCTCTCTCAGGAGTGCCTTTGGATGTCTCGACGTTATCGTCACGTTTAGAAAAGTTTTCGAAATGTTTCTAACTTCTGAGCAGTCTGCAAAGGCTATAGCAATCTTTTAACTTACGTAAATTTTCAAGCAAGTATCAGGTTGTCCTATAAGTTCTATCCGTTTTGAATTTCAACTGCATCAAGTCTACACTTC